TGCCATCATTTTTGTCATTATTGCTGTTGTCATCACACTCCTCACAGCTTCCTCATGCATGCCTGCGTGCAAGGCTCCCTGGAAGGTGCTGGGCTGCTGAGGCGTGTTTCTGGAGGAACAGCTGTGAGCTCACATCACAAACAAGCCATGCGAAGCAGATGTGGGCCTGGCCTGGCTCCTGTCTCGCAAGCCCCCTGCCTTGGGAAATGGGGACTGTGTGGATGAACACACAGGCTCAGTGGAGAGGAGAATGCTGCCTTTGGAGAGGTAGGAGGGCTCCAGGCGGATTTCGAGGACAGGGAGCCTCAGCAGTGTGGCCCTGGCACTCCACCAGCCCTCGGAGTGTACCCTGGTGGGCTCCAGTCCAGGCTGGAGCAGCTGCGCAGGGTCCCTGCTCACTCCTCATCCCTGGGCACTCTCAGATGTGCTCTCCTGCCCTTGCCCACTCATCCCATTTTCTGCCCCAATTGTTTCAACTCCTTCCTCCAAGGACCACAGATGTCCCCTTCCCTCTGCGTGGGTCCCAGAATTTGGGGCCAGTCAGGCCTTAGCTCAGAGCAGGCACCCTGACCACCCATCAATCCCAGCACCAGATGCAGGAGGGAAGCAGAGCCAGAAGGCAGGGTGGCCTGTCCAGCGCCCGAGGGAAAGTCCAGCTCCATCAGGCCAGGCTTCAAATGTCAACCTGCATCCAGCAGCTCAGCCTCTAAGTGTCCCCATCCCTTCCATGGTGGCCACTACCCTCTCCACAATGGAGCCTGGCTCCAGGCCGTTGGGGCAGTGACAGCAGGGTGTGCTGGAGAACCCCCATGAGAAGGACAGGGGTCAGCGGACCTCCCCACTGTGACCTTTTATAGTCCCCATTCCAAGCCCATCCTCCCTCCCTAATGTCTGGGCCTCCCAGCACAGCCCGTGCCCCACCAAGAGCCCCAGAGGCAGCCCCGGTGCTCTGTCCCTGCAGCCTGGTCAGTGTGGGGCCGCATGGACCCTCCCTCTGCACAGCCAGTGCATGCCTCTGGGTGCTCCCACCTGCCGGCCCTACCTGGCCTCCGTTCGAGTGGGGAGGCCCTGGGACCACACCTCAGGGTGCCTGGGAAGGCAGAGGTGGGCCTTGGGACTCAGTCCCTCATCTGGCCCTGCCGGGGCCCAGGACAGCACCCTGCCCAGGAGATCAGGCTCCAGTGTTGACCCCTTGCCCTGGCTCATCGGCTCCTCCTGGCTGTGCCGGGATTCCTGGCTCTTGGTGCCCATCCACCCCTCCTCCCCAGCAAGCCAGGCTGCAGGCCCCACCTTCTCCCCAGCTCCTTCCTTCCTCCTGTGGCCCATGCTATCTCTAGGAGAGCAAGGGGTTCAGGAAGGGATTCTGCCTGTGGGCACTGCTGACATGGGCAGGCAGGGGCAGGGTGGGCTGCACTTCCTCCCATCTCAGGACCCGGCAGGGGTGGCACAGCCAAGTTGCAGGGAGTCTGGTGGGATTGAGCCGCCCTGCCCCCATCGTGCCTCTCAGGGCCTGTCCCCCGCCCACCCGAGCCCTCCACTGGGCGTCTCTTCCGAATCCAGTCCATGCCCACTGGCTGCCCGTGCCCCAGGGTGGGCTTTGCACTGGAGCTGCACCCAGGCTCTGCAAAGCCACCATGGTGACAGCGTTTCCAGGGAAACCACAGCAGGCTGCCAGGCAAGTGCAGGCGGGGGACACCCAGGTGGGAGGTGTGTGTCTGTGTGTGAGGGAGCACAGGAGGGTGTGGGGCGTGTTTGTGGGTTGTGTGTCAGTGTGGTGGTGTGCATGTGGGGTGCCCTTGAGAGCTTGTGTGTTTGTAGGTCATTGTGGGGCACATGCCTGAGGGTCCCGGGTCTGTGTCTGAGACAGCTCAGTGTGTGTGTGCATGTGTGAGCACATACATGTCAGTGTGTGTGAGTGTGGGGGTCTGTGTGCGTCTATGTGTGATGTGTGCACATGCGCCTGTGTGTTGGGGTGCATGTTTGCACGTGTGTGTCAGTGAGCGTTGGGGTGTCTGTGTCTATATGTGCGTGTGTTGGGGTGCCTGTGTCTGTGTGTGCGTGTGTTGGGGTGCCTGTGTCTGTGTGTGCGTGTGTTGGGGTGCCTGTGTCTGTGTGTGCGTGTGTTGGGGTGCCTGTGTGTGTGCGTGTGTTGGGGTGCCTGTGTCTGTGTGTGCGTGTGTTGGGGTGCCTGTGTCTGTGTGTGCGTGTGTTGGGGTGCCTGTGTCTGTGTGTGCGTGTTGGGGTGCCTGTGTCTGTGTGTGCGTGTGTTGGGGTGCCTGTGTCTGTGTGTGCGTGTGTTGGGGTGCCTGTGTCTGTGTGTGCGTGTGTTGGGGTGCCTGTGTCTGTGTGTGCGTGTGTTGGGATGTCTGTGTATCTGTGTATGTGTGCACACATGTGTCTGCATATGTATGTGTGGAGGTGTCGTTGTGTCTCTGCATGCATGTGTGTGCACATGCGTGTCAGCGTGTGTGCACGTTGGGGTGTCACATATGTGTCCTGAGTGTGTTTCTGTGGGCCTGAGGGTCCCCGGTGGGCAACTTTGTCTACCTAGAACCAAGCAGCTGTGTCCCCAGCAACACTGCCGCTCCCCTCAGCCCACCCCCCAGGAGCTTGCAGGCCACGCGGGCTGAGCGCAGACTTGTTGCGGAGTGTGAGGGTGCCGTGATCCTCTGAAGCCGGCAGGCCTGGTGGGGTCCCAGGAAGGAAGATGGTGCCTTCAGATCATGGGATGTTCCTTGAAGCTTTGTGTCCACCTCACCACTGCGCCCCACCCCTGCTCAGCCTCCTCCTGTGGCTCAATAGCACCCCCTCCCCAGGGGCTCCTCCTCCCCATCATTCTTGTCCGCTGAGGTCCCTGGGCCCCCAGCAGCTCAGGCTGGCCATCTAGGAGGTGCAGGCCCCGGGACTGGACCCAGCTGGGCAGGGCCTGAGGTTCACTCTGAGGCCTGGGGCACCAGCCCCTCGGAGGCACCTAGGACAGAATTGTCCTCAGGGCTAGGCTGTGGGGCACAGCTGTTCCCGGTAGCCCCCCAACACCCCATCTGTCCACACAGGCTCAGCATCTCTTGCCTGCCTAGCTTCGGGCCCCAAGGGCCCCTCCCCATAGGGTCTGAATGGCCCAAGGCAGGGCGAAGTCTCACTTTGCCTGGAAATCTGTGAGGCTCCAAGGACCCTGAGCCTGCACATCATTCATTCATTCATTCATTCATTCACTCTACCATCAGCTCCTGTGGAGCTCTTGGCTGAGTTCCAGGCCCCAGGGAATCAAGACAGTCCAGGACAGGCCCTGGGTCATCTCCCCCGCTCTCTCAGTCCCCTGGTTCATCACAGAGGCCAGTGCCTTTGTTGGAGTGAGCAGCTGTGAGGGGCAGTTCGGGCATGAAAGAAGGAACCAGCCCACTTTGGAGCATCAGGGAGGACTTCCTGGAAGAGGCCACGTCTAAGCTGATGCTCACAGAGCTGAGAGCGAGCTTGGCGGGCTGCCACTGGGGAAGGAGCAACTTTCTGGACAGGAAGTGCGGAGTGCACGTCCTAAGGCAGAGAGGGACGCAGCGGGGAGCTCCTCTCTGAGACAGGGTCCCATGCCAGGCAGTGTGAGAAGTGGGGGAGGCTGCAGGCCATGGTGGTGGGCCCAGAGTGAGTGCCCAGCAGGGACAGCCTGGGGGGCCTGGCAGGGGCTGTCCCAGACAGGTCTGCAGCATGGACCATGGCAGAGCCCCAGGAGGCTCCTCAGTGATGCAGGGTGGGGGCAGGCTGTGGAGGCCACAGGTGGGATGGAGCAGGTGCAGTGGCCCACCAGCCACCCAGACAGCAGGGGGCCCCTCCTGCCCGTGCCGCGCACAGGCTAGGTCTGGGTGAGGGTGGTATGGAGGACAGAACGAGTCAAGCCCAGGTAGTTATGGAGCGTGTTTAGTGCACAGTCACTTCGTGTTCACCCTGTGACAGCCCGGTCCCCAGGAGAAGCAGCCCAGGGGGCTCCCACCCTGCAGGCCCAGGGGAGGGCACCCAGCAGGGAGGCCAGATCAGGAGGGGCTCAGCTCCCACAGGTCCGGGCACCGCCAGCAGAGCCCCCAAGGGACCTGGATGCCCTAGCCCCAAGGGCAGGGGAGCAGCCACCCGACAACAGGGCTGGGGCGCTCCGAGGGGCCTGCAGTGCTGGAGTTGCAGATACAGCACCCCCAGGGATGCTCTGGGGCAGCCTTTTAGGCAGCAGATGTGGTCACCACCCTGTGCCCAGCAAAGGCTGCCAAGCCCACCCGCCCTCAGCAGGAAGGGGGTCAGGACCTGGCCCGAGTGAGAGGGACGAGGAGAGAAGAGAGCAGGCAATGACTGCAACAGACCCAGTAGCCTTCGTCCCACCTGGCCAGCATTGGCCACTCCCCTGCCCTCCCCATACCCCACGACCCCAGGGACAGGCCTGACGTGGATGGAGTCCCCAGAGATGCATATTTACAAGTTTGATCCAGTGGATAGATTTTCCTCTTTGCTAATTGGAACATGTCTACTGTGGCTGCCTTAATAGGCAGATGAAAGAAGAATCAAAACAAGCAGAATGTACCCAGTTAACATTTCAAGCAAGAATGCTTTCCCCTTTAAGCTAATACTGGACTGAAGACAGAAAGGATGTCAGCTTGAAGCTGACGAGAATGAGTAGCTTTGCAGTGCCCCCCGCCGGGTGGGTCTGGAGCAGAGTGCAGGCTGCAGCCCCTGCCCTCACCCCCTTCGGCCCTGTGCTGGCCACGTGGGCGACCACGGGCACCCTCCTTACACCTGGGATGCATTTGTCTGCAGGTGCCCACCAGCTCCTCCTTTCAAGCCTCACGGAATTGAAACAAGCTGCGGGAATCGATTCTCCGGCCGAAAGTCTTCTCCAGTAAAGGAGCTTCCCAGGCTCCATTTCACAGGAGCACCGGCTGGGGGAAGACAGGGAGGAGGGCCTTCATTATGCAGTCGTTGTGGAGTCTTGTTAAGCACTGATTCCACCTGCTTGAGAAGCCGACTTTTTTTTTTTTTTTTTTGAAACAGAGTCTTGCTCTGTTGCCCAGGCTGGAGTGTAGTGGTGCAATCTTGGCTCACTGCAACCTCTGCCTCTGAGGTTCAAGCAATTCTCCTGCCTCAGCCTCTGGAGTTGCTGAGATTACAGGAATGTGCCACCATGCTCAGCTAAATTTTTTTGTACTTTTAGTAGAGATAGGGTTTCACCACGTTAGCCAGGATGGTCTCGATCTCCTGACCTCGTGATCTGCCCGTCTTGGCCTCCCAAAGTGCTGGGATTACAGGCGTGAACCACTGCGCCCGGCCCAGAAGTCAACCTTTCTTTGGTTCTGGAAGCAACAGCAGAGCGATGACTTTGGTGGTGGAGACTGGTCTTTGTTCAAATAAAAATCACCACCCTGGACACTAGGCCAGGCATAACAGCCCACAAAGCCAGGTGGTGGCCGACCTGCAAGGCTGTGGCCCTGGAGCCGCAGCTTCTCCCAGGGAGGGCGCCTGGCAGCGCCTGCAAGGATGGAGACCCCGGCAGTGCCGTGTCTAGGTCCGTGTCCCGTGCTGAGGGTGCACTGGGTGAAGTGGGAGGCGGGCCCTGGTCTGCGCTGCCCACAGGTATGGTCTCTTGACCACATGAAGCTCTGTTGGCCCCAGCTGACTGTTCCCATCCTCGAGACCTGCGGCAGCCTGAGAAGGGCCTCGGTGGTCACCCTTGTCTGTTCCTCCTGCTAAAATGAAATACCTCAGAGGGGGCAATTTGTAACCGGAATTTCATTGCTAGGTTCTGGAGGCTGGGACACCCAGGACCAATGCCCCACCAGATTCAGTGTCTGGTGAGGGTGGCTGTCTGCTCTCTGCTCCCAGGACAGTGACTTCTTGCTGCATCCTCACCCAGTGGCAGGGACGGGAGGGTGGGGAAAGGCAACCAGGACCCCCAAACCTCTTATGAGGCTACTGGTCCCATTCACATCCTCCTCATCTCCCAAAGCCCTCCAGTGATGCCATCGCCTTAGGGCTTAAGTTCTAACAAATGAATCTGGGGGTGACACCAACATTCAGACCATAGCAGCAGCTGTGATGGCTACTTTTGTGTCAGCTCGACCAGGCCACAGTCCTCAGCTATTTGGTCAAACACCAGTGTAGACGTTGCTGTGAGCGTGTTTCTTGGATGAGATTAATATTTCAATCAGGAGACACTGGGTAGAGCAGAGTACTGACCATATTATAGCCTCATCCAGGCAGTCCAAGGCCTTAAGAGAAAAAGACAGTGGTCCCCGAGGAAGAGGAAGTCCCGCCTCTGGGCAGCAGCCCCTGGAGGAAGAGGAAGTCTCGCCTCCGGGCGGCCTTCAAACATGAGCAGCAACAGCCAGTGTCCCTGGGTCTCCAGCGGTCTGCAGGTGTCAGACGAGCAGCTGCCACAACCACATAAGCCAATTCCTTAAAATAAATCTCTCTTGCACGGTCTCCCTATGTATATATTTACATTTTATATATATACACACTATATACATGTATACTATGTATTCACACTATGTATACACATTATACATACATATACTGTGTATAGAATATATAGGTATGCAATATGCACACATTGTATACACTATGTATGCACACTCTATATAATCTGTATGTACACTATATATACACTATATACACACTGTATATATCTGTATGCACACTATATTACACACATATACATACTCTATATTAATGTATACTATATACACACTATGTATACACATGCTATCTCTATAATATATACACACCATATCTGTACACATATATACTCTCCATATGCACACTACACATACACTATATATACACACAGTATAGTCCATATGTGCACACTATACACACAGTATATATAGTCCATATGTGTACACTATACACACACAGTATAGTCCTTATGTGTACACTATGTGTACACACAGTATATATAGTCCATATGTGTACACTACATACACACACAGTATATATAGTCCATATGTGTACACTACATACACACACAGTATATATAGTCCATATGTGTACACTACATACATACACAGTATATATAGTCCATATGTGTACACTACATACACACACAGTATATATAGTCCATATGTGTACACTACATATGCACACAGTATATATAGTCCATATGTGTACACTACATACATACACAGTATATATAGTCCATATGTGTACACTATATACACACACAGCATAGTCCATATGTGTACACTACATACACACACAGTATATATACTCCATATGTGTACACTATATACACACACAGTATATATAGTCCATATGTGTACACTACATACATACACAGTATATATAGTCCATATGTGTACACTATATACACACACAGCATAGTCCATATGTGTACACTACATACACACACAGTATATCTAGTCCATATGTGTACACTACATACACACACAGTATATCTAGTCCATATGTGTACACTACATACACACACAATATATCTAGTCCATATGTGTATACTACATACACACACAATATATATAGTCCATATGTGTACACTACATACACACACAGTATAACTCTACATACATACACTATATGTACCCTATATGCACACACTGTAGACATACTGTATATATGTGCACTATATGCACACACACTATGGATATTCTATATATGTACATGATATATACCCTATAGGTGCACAGCATATATCCTATATGTCCTATGTCCTATATATACCTGGTATATACCTTATATGTCCACAGTATATGTCATATATGTACACGGCATATACCCTATATGCCCATGGTATATGTCCTATATGCACACAGGATATACCCTATGTGTACATGGTATATGCCTATATGTACATGGTATATACCGTACATGTACATGGTATATGTCCTACATGTATACTGTATATACTCTACATGTACATGTTATATGCCCTATATGTACATGGTATATGCCCTATATGTACACAGTATATACCCTATATGTACACCGTACATACCCTATATGTACACTATTTGTACACACATCCCAATGGTTCTGTTTCCCTGGAGAATCCCGCCTACCCCAGACACCGCTACACCCCTCCACCCCCTGCCACAGCCTCCCTTGGTGCCCCCAGGCCCCTTTTCCACCTGATGTGGTCCACTGGCTGCAGTTTGGCGTCCAGAGATCACAAGGCTCCGAGCTGGTGGGAGCCGAGGTGGTAGGGAGCAGGAAGGGGGCTGCCAGATAAAACTTGGGATCCCCAGCTAAGATGAATTCAGATTAGCAATGTATCATTGTTTAGTATATGTCTGTCCCAAATTTTTCATGGAGCACATGTATGCTAAAAATGGATTTGTTACCCTAGAAGAAAACCTAGGCAATACCATTCAGGACATAGGCATAAGCAAGGACTTCATGTCTAAAACACCAAAAGCAATGGCAACAAAAGCCAAAATTGACAAATGGGATCTAATTAAACTAAAGAGCTTCTGTACATCAAAGAAACTACCATCAGAGTGAACAGGCAACCTACGGAATGGGAGAAAATTTTTGCAATCTACCCATCTGACAAAGGGCTAATATCCAGAATCTACAAAGAACTCAAACAAATTTACAAGAAAAAATCAAACAACCCCATCAAAAAGTGGGCGAAGGATATGAACAGACACTTCTCAAAATAAGACATTTATGCAACCAACAGACACAAGAAAAAATGCTCAACATCACTGGCCATCAGAGAAATGCAAATCCAAACTGCAATGAGATACCATCTCACACCAGTTAGAATGGCAATCATTAAAAAGTCAGGAAACAACAGGTGCTGGAGAGGATGTGGAGAAACAAGAACACTTTTACGCTGTTGGTGGGACTGTAAACTAGTTCAACTATTTTGGAGGACAGTGTGGCGCTTCCTCAAGGATCTAGAACTAGAAATACCATTTGACCTAGCCATCCCATTACTGGGTATGTACCCAAAGGATTATAAATCATGCTGCTATAAGGACACATGCACACGTATGTTTACTGAGGCACTATTCACAATAGCAAAGACTTGGAACCAACCAAAATGCCCATCAAGGATAGACTGGATTAAGAAAATGTGGCACATATACATCATGGAATACTGTGCAGCCATAAAAAAGGATGAGTTCATGTCCTTTGTAGGGACATGGATGAAGCTGGAAACCATCATTCTGAGCAAACTATCACAAGGACAGAAAACCAAACACCACATGTTCTCACTCATAGGTGGGAATTGAACAATGAGAACCCTTGGACACAGGGTGGGGAACATCACACACTGGGGCCTGTTGTGGGGTGGGGGGAGGAGGGATAGCATTAGGAGATATACCTAATGTAAACGACGAGTTACAGGGTGCAGCACACCAACATGGCACATGTATGCACATGTACCCGAGAACTTAAAGTATAATTTAAAGGATTTGTTCTAACTTTGATCTTTTGAATTTGCTAACCTGGGCCGCCTTAGGGAGGGGCACCCAGCTCAGTGGGGAGGGGCAGCTCTGTGCCCTGGGTGACTCCGGCCCAGCCTTGTCTACACCCCTGACCCAGGCCCGCCTGCCCTGGCTCCCCTCACTGTGAGGGGCTCCCAGCACCAAGGCCCCTCGGTAGGGTTCCCACCATGGGTCTCCTCAGCTTGGAGGGCCTGGGCCTGTGGGCGTGGCTGGGATCTTTCCCAATGCCAGTCTTATGGCCTCTGCCACTACGACAGACTAAGGGAGACCCGCAGCACACAGCTGCCTTAGGAAAACCCGCCAGGCCCCAGGGGAAATCCCGGTGAATCTAGCAGCACAACGACAGGAGAAAGCTTGTTTCCAGGTGTCCTGGGATGACTGGCTCCATCCAGTGACTGAGCCCAGAGCTCCTCGAGTGCCCCCTCCAAGGCGCTCTTGGCCTGCGGACATTTGGCAGGACAAACAGCTCCGGCCAAGAGGCCCCACAGCATTCTCCGTGGAGTCGGGGGGCAGGAAGCGCCTCCACGTTCAGCCTGAGCACGAGGACAGCTCCAGGGCGTGCTGTGGGCTCCGGTTCCCCAGAACACCCAGAGAAGTACAGAGCCCACCAGCGACGCTACGCACCTCGAATCCAGGGCCTTCAGGGTGCAGGAAAGATGGCTGAATGTCACCCCAACATCCCCAAAGGAATAGAGTCAGGGCAGTCCTTTTGGCCTCCTTGTGACCAAGAGGGAGACGTCCGACTGACCCCAAGGCCCTGCCCCCTAAGTCACCTCTTGGTGTGTCTACCACATCCCAGCCACAGCCTGCCACAACCTGGGCGATGGTAGCTGGGGGAGGTGTGGCCGGGTGGGCTTGTGCATAGGGATAGACTGGTGACACCATGCTGTTCCCTGGCCTGACTGCTCCACCGGCTCCCTGCTTCCCTCTGCGGGCACCCAGCAGGCCTGTGTGAGAACGAGGCCCATCTCTTCCGAGGGCGAGGGAATGAGCTGCACCTGCGAGGCTTGTCGTGTGCCCCCAGACCTCACAGGACTCCCTCAGCAACTCCTTGGGCAACCCATGGCTCCGACGGGTGCTGGGCCTCCGTGTTCAGGGCCAGGGCCTCGTCTGCATCTGACTCGCCCACACCTCTTCCCTGAAGCCCGGGCAGCCAGTCTACACGTGTAAAACATGCCCGTCCCTAGATGCACAGCCCAGCCCATCCCTAGAACCGCCCGCTAGCCAGCTTTCTGCATCTGTCTCCTCTTCTGTTCTCATTCCAAAAATCGCAGGTGCTCACCGCATATTATTAAGAAAATGTAAAAAAATCTGAAAAGAACATTAGAATTACCCATAATCACCCCCACCGGAGATAAATCCATTACCTCTTTGGTATATTTCCTTTTGGGACGCACACATATAAACCCGAATGTTTATACGTAGACCAAGTGAGAGTGGTGGGAAGCACCTGGCCTGTTACATTCTGTGGCACTTGCACGTGCAGGGGCCTGAGGGGCTGCAGCGTCCTCCCTGCCTGGCACAGACAGCCACAGGGCCTCCCTCCTGCAGCAGGGCAGGCAGGACCTCCTGCCCATTCGCTCGCCCCAGTCACTGCCTCTGTCCCCGCCCCCTGCCGGGTGCACCCATGAGATGCATGCCCGAGGGCAGCGATGCGCGGCAGGCCCATCCCCAAGGGCCCACAGCACAGCCGCAGTTAGAAAAGGGACTTCTGACGCAGCCAAGCTCATGCCTGCAACAGACTTCAGGGTCTGGAGAGGGTTGTGTTTGCGCTCCTTCTGGAAGCATCCTGCTTGGACCCTGCCAGTCCTGTGGTGGCCAGAGGTCCTGGGGCCAGGCTTCTGTCTCGGCCCTCAGGTACGGGCATTTGGGGAGAGGTGGCAACAGCAAGGACACAGTCAGGCCCCAGCGTGTTTGTGTCCTAGAGAAGCGGAGCCGGCCCTCCCTGGAGGCCACTCACGAAGCCAGACATCCCTGGGGCAGTGGATAAATCTGGAGCAGAAGAGGGCAGGTGCCCCATCCACCTGCCCATGCAGAGACAGATGGGACCACCCAGGAGGGCCAGGCCAGGCTCCTTCCTCAGGTTCAGGCCCAGCCCAGCACCCTTAGTCTGGTGTGCTCTGGCCCATGACACAGACAACCAGAACCGGGCTGCTCACTGTCAGCGGCTGGCCAGGAGCAGACCCACTCCAAGAGTCTCATGACCCCTCTCCCACCAGCACCACTGCCCCCAGCCCTACAACACAGATCTTCCCATCTTCTGGAGCCGGTGTGGCTCTGATGGTGCGTTTCCAGAGCCAGCGCCCAATGCGGGCTTCTCGGCACGGTGTGGGTGAGCCCCAGGGGGTCCTGCTGGCCCTGGGCTCTGCTATTGCTGAGCAGTTGACTCTGTCCCTAAGAATAGGAGGAGACGAGTGCCTGGAGACCAAGCACAGCTGGTCACCCCAGAGCGCGAGGTCAGTGGGCCCCGTTTCCTGCCCGGTGAGTCTGGCTGTCCCGGTGGCCTCTTCCTGCCTCAGCAGCCCTGGACTGAAAGCAGCACGTGACCAGCTGGGCGTGGGGGAGGGACTGTCACTGAAGCAGAAGCCTCTCAAAGGCTGTGTTCAGCTGAGGGCGGGTTCCAGAAAGTGACGGAATCTTCCAGAAAAGATGCCACCAACATCCCCAGAATGGCTGTGGTGAGTGTGGTGGGCTTCTGTGCCACCAGCATGGGCCTTGGCCAATCCGAGCTCCAAGGCACACCCAGAAGAGCTCCCTGAAGTGCCCACAGCACCTCTGTCTGTCTCCACAGAGACCCCAGAATGAGTCATGACACCGCGCTCAGAGGTGACCAAATTCCATCCAGAGCACATGCGATGCGCATGTGTGCCTGCGTGCGGATGTGTGTGTGCCTGCGTGCGGATGTGTGTGTGCCTGCGTGTGGATATGTGTGTGCCTGTTGACCTGTGTGTGGATGCGTGTCCGTGTGTGCCTGTGTGGATGCATGTGGATGTGTGTGTGTGCCTGTGTGTGGATGCATGTAGATGTGTGTGTGCCTGCGTGTGGATACTTGTGTGGATGTGTATGCCCATGTGCATGTGTGCCTGCATGTGTGTGTGCCTGCGTGAGGATGTGTGCCTGTGTGTGGATATGTGTGTGCCTGTTGGCCTGTGTGTGGATGCGTGTCCGTGTGTGCCTGTGTGGATGCATGTGGATGTCTGTGTGTGCCTGTGTGTGGATACTTGTGTGGGTGTGTATGCCCATGTGCATGTGTGCCTGCATGTGTGTGTGTCTGTGTGTGGATGTGTGTAGATGTTCATGTGCCTGTGTGCCTGCATGTGGATGTGTGTTCACGTGTGTGCATGTGTGCCTATATGTGGATGTGTTTGGGTGTGTGCCTGCATGTGTGCATGTGTGTGCCTGTGTGTCAATGCATGTGTACCTGCGTGTGAATGCATGTGTGTGTGTGCCTGTGTGTGGATGTGTGTGTGCATGTGTGCCTGCATGTGGGTGTGTGGGTGTGTGTGTGCCTGTTGGCCTGTGTGTGGATGCGTGTCCGTGTGTGCCTGTGTGGATGCACGTGGATGTGTGTGTGTGGATGCATGTAGATGTGTGTGTGCCTGCGTGTGGATACTTGTGTGGATGTGTATGCCCATGTGCATGTGAGCCTGCATGTGTGTGTGTGTCTGTGTGTGGATGTGTGTAGATGTGCATGTGCCTGTGTGCCTGCATGTGGATGTGTGTGCACGTGTGTGCGTGTGTGCCTATGTGTGGATGTGTTTGGGTGTGTGTGTCCCTGTGTGTGGGGGTGTGTGTGTGCCTGTGTGTGGATGTGTGTGTGTGTGTGTGTGCATGTGTGCCTATATGTGGATGTGTGTGGGTGTGTGTGTGCCTGTGTGTGGATGTGTGCATGTGCGTGTGTGCCTGTGTGTTGATGCATGTGTGCCTGCATGTGGACGTGTGCGTGCATGTGTGCCTGCATGTGGATGTGTGTGCGTGTGTGCCTGCGTGTGGATGTGTGTGTGTTCATGTGTGCCTGCGCTGCCTTGGCCTGGGACCCAGAAACACCCCAATTTAGTGGAAACCATCCCGTCTGGTCTCTGAGAGATGCGTTTCAGACCTGCTGAGTCTCTGGCCAAAGTGAGTCATGCGTGGGAACGAGAGCTGGCCTCTGTCTGTCCCGCTAGAAGGTCCCGTTCAGGCAGCGCTGGGAGCACACACAGGATCAGTGCCTGCGGCGGCTGCCGGTGGGTCCACCCCTTCTCAGGGCTCAACCCAGCTGGGCTGACAGCTCAGAGCTTCGTACTCAACTGTGGGAGCCGGAGCACAGGCAGGGCGCCCTGACGCTGAGGCAGGAGTGGAGGAGAGGCCTGGTGAGGCAGAGAAGGCTTCCTGGAGGAGGGGACTGGAGCTGGCTTGTGCAGGGTCAAGCCAAGGTGGGCCGGGCATTTTGACAGGCCCACCAGAGCTGGGCCCAGAGCGGGAGAGCATGTGGCTCTGGGGCGGGCAAGAATGGGAGGGCTGTCTGGGGAGGTGACGCTGGAGGGTGCATCAGAGGCCCTGGCAGGTTCAGGCACCATCCCCGGGCTCAGGGCATTCTTGGACGCATCAGTGGAATGTTGCCTCATGGTCACAGAATGGCTGCCCACTTCCAGCATCCCATGTGCATTCCAGGCAGAAGGAAAGGGTGAGCATAGGGCAAAGACCCTGCCTGCCGTGTCAGCCCCTCTTTCAAGGTGATTTCCTGGAATTCCACTGGGCAGACCTGCTAACATTGACTGTCACTGTCTTGTGTCTGTGAGGGAAACTGGGTGATTGTTTTCACTCCCCACCCCCAACCCAGCGGTACTGAGCCTCTGTGATGAAGAGGAAGGACATAGGCATTCACTGGCACCAGCAGCCTCTGTCCCTTCCCTCCCAGCTCCCCGCTCCGCTGTGGTAGGTCTGATGGGGCCTCCTCTGTCCTCAGGACTCAGCCTCACCCAGCAGGACAAGCCCCTTCCTCCCCACTGCAGCATCGCCATTGCTGGGGACTCTGTCCTTGCTGCCCCACACTCATAGCACATGACGATGTGGGCAGAGTCCAGGTGGGGACCACGGCGACCTGCCTGCTCTGCCCAGCAGGCTCTATGGGAGAGGAGCTCCCATCAGGGGCAGAAAAGCCCCCTCCCTTTGGCCCTCTTTCTCCTTTTTGCCCTCACCCAGGGCCAGGAGGGTGAAGCCTGACTGTGGCCCCACCCCTCCGTGTTTGTTGGGCACCAGACCCTTCTGCCTCCCCTTCCTCTCCCCTTCGCTGGCCTGCTGTCTCCTGAGCGCTCACTGTCTGGCTCTGCGGCCGCCCCCAGGTGTCACCATGTCCTCCTCCATTACCCTGGCCTTGGCGGCCTGGGCTGTGGGGGCTGGTGGGGAGGACCGGGGGGCATCCTGGGCGGAAGGCAGTGGCCTGGGGAGGGTTGTGCAGAGGCTTCCGGAGAGCTGGTGGGATGTGACACCTTGGCTACAGTCCTACAGTCCTTCTCTGGCGTCCAGGCTCCTCCCCTGGTGACAGGGAGGACTTCCTGGCCTGTGAGACCCCTGGATGTGTGAGCCTTCGCCGCTGAGGAGCTTTCTCCACTCTGCCTGACACAGCAAATGAGGACCCAGGGCCCAGAGAGTGCCCAGGGCCCCTGGGCAGGCCAGGCTGACACGAGCCTCTGGCAGCCGAGGCTGCCTCGCTGTCCCTGAGGCCGGGGTCACCTGACCTGCTGTGGCCCCTCCCCTCTCATGCCCAGCCCCCATGCTCACTACAGGAGTGGGAGCCCCTCCCAGACCCTCTAACATCTCACCTTTCCCAAATTAGGTCCAAAGGCTGGGACTCCCCCCTCCCTAAGGGGACACCCCGCTTGCTGCAGGTACATCCTGGGACGCTGCTCCCTGGCCCGTGACCCAGCCCAGCACCTGCTGCCCATGGATGGGTTTGGAGAGGCAAGGAGCAAGGGCAGGAGATGGGGCCTTCACCCCACCCCACCACCACCTGGCACTCCCGGAAGAGCTGGAGCGCTGCCCTCACCTCCCACTACCCTCACCCCCAACACACGGGATCTGGGCCCACTGTCTCCCCCCAGCACACGGGATCTGGGCCCACTGTCTCCTCAGCAGTGTCCCTGGGCCACCCTGTCTGTGGCCCCAGGCACCACTGAGGTGCAGGCCCTGGCTCTCAGGACCTCCCTACCCTCTGCCATCTGCACTCCATGGGTTCCCTCACATGGGGCCGAGTGATGCCCAGTACCAGGAGTCTTTGCAGGGCCCAGGGCCCCGTTCCTCGAAGATGGCTCAGGACCGGGGGTGGTTGCGTGGCAGGTGCCAGGCCTCTTGAATCGGCCTGTAGAATGCTGCCTGCGGTGGGACAGGGCCTACTCCGCCAGCCCACGGCATGTGTACCCTGGAGGCTAGTGGAAGAGAAAGGGAAGTTTCATGTTCTAATTTTGATTTTTGTCTAGATATACTCATAAAAGTGAGAACTCAAGTAGCATAGGAAAGGCTGGGGCAGCACTTCCTGAGCCCCCATGTCCACTCCTCACCCAGGAGCCTCTCCCTGAGCCCGGTTTCTGGTCCTAGAGCCTTAAGCCTGGCAAGACACTTGCCCCGCCGCTCCTGCCCCACGCCTCTGGGGGTGTCGGGATGCCCCACTTTGAGCCGGGCTGAGCTCATCTCCACCTGTCCTCCCTGCACTCACGTCAGCGGCCTTTCCAGTCCTGCCGTCCTGGTAGGGTGCAGTGGCCCAGGCTCCTGACTGGCTAATGCACTCCCCAGGCAAACGGTGCAGCAGAGGGGATCACAAATGGCACAGCCAAAGAAACGAATTCCAAAAACGTGAGCTGGTGGTTGGAAACACTCATGTGAGCAATTGAAAAGACCATGAAACCATTACCAAAATTGAGAGCAGAAATGGAATTTAAAATGAAAGTGCGTAAAACCCTGATCCAAGATTTCTTTTTATTTTTTAAGCTTATTTGCTTATTACAAAATGAATCTACTTTTTACAGAACAATTACAAAATATTGACAGCCAAGCATGGTATTCTAATCCAGCCCACCCCTCACACATTCAGGGGCAGCTCCTGTTAACCCGGGATCCCCTCCTCAGGGCTGTTGGCAAGTGTGTGTGCATGTGAGTGTAGGTGTACGTGTGAGTGTAGGTGTGCATGTGTGTGTACGAGTGTGCATGTGCATGTGTGCACATGTGTGAGTGTGCATGTGTGTATGAGTGTGTGCACGTGTGTCCACATGTATGTGTGTGTAGGAGTGCATGTGTGCATGTGTGTGTGTATGAGTGGGCATGTGCGTCTGTATGTATTCCTGTGTGCATGCGTACATGTATGTTAGTGTGCATGTGTGTGCACACGTGTGAGTGTGCATGTGCACACATGTGTGTGCATGTGTGCGTGTGTATTCTTAACCCAAGGGAGTTGCTGCTTACCACTGGATCATAACCAGATGTTTAACCAGTCTCCGGAGGGAGGACATTTAGGTTATTTCCAAATGCAGCAGGGAACAGGGGCACTGGGGAAAGGGGAAAGGAAAAAGCGCTCAGCGCAGGGAACTCGTGATCTTGTAGAGACAAACGGAAACATTTACACACCAAGGGACAGCAGCAGAATGCGGGGGACGGAATTGGGGGCTGGAATGGGGGGCCTGGGATGGGGGACCGGAATGGGGGGGCCGGAATGGGAGACTGGAATGGGGGGCTGGAATGGGACGGCTGGAATGGGAGGCTGGAATGAGGGGGCCGGGACGGGGGGCCGGAATTGGGGGGCTGGAATGGGGGTGCCGGGACAGGGGTTCAGAATTGGGGGGCCGGAATGGGAGGCTGGAATGGGGGGCCGGAATGGGGGTGCCGGGACGGGGGTTTGGAATCGGGGGGGCTGGAATGGGGGGAGCCGGGCCGGGGGGCCGGAATGGGGGGCCAGAATGGGAGGCCGGAATGGGGGGGCCGGAATGGGAGCCGGAATGGGGGCCGGAATGGGGGGCCAGAATGGGAGGCCGGAATGGGCGGGCCGGAATGGGGGGCCGGAATGGGGGGCCAGAATGGGAGGACTGGGACAGGGGGCTGGCATGAGGTACTTAACTCTTCCTTGTGTGGGGTAGGACACGTCCATAATAAAATGTTTAAAAAGAAGGGAAAGGACCAGAGCACTTCAGAAAAAACGAAGGAAACCACGTGGGAGACGTCACACGGTGTTGCCCGCCCCGTGGGCTCCCAGCCAGCAGGCAGGGCAGAGTACACACTTCCTCCTGCCTATCCGAGGGCCCCGGGACTGACCACAGGTCCACATGGGCAGCCAGGTGGTCACGGGAGGACGGGGCCTGAGGATCCAGCCCCAGACGACACTGCAGGCCCCGGCAGGGGAGGGTGCCACTCTCGCCTCTGCTCTCTCACCTCCGCTCTGCCTGGCCCATGGCTCTGTAGGCCTCCGTCCTCTAAGGACTCAAACTTTTTAATATAAAAATAAGTTGCAGGCCAGGCACGGTGGCTCACACCTGTAATCCCAGCACTTTGGGAGGCCAGGGTGGGCGGATTACCTGAGGTCAGGAGTTCAAGACCAGCCTGGCCAACATGGTGAAACCCTGTCTCTATTAAAAACACAAATTTTAGCCAGGCGTGGTGGTGGGCGCCTGTAATCCCAGCTACTCGGGAGGCTGAGGCAGGAGAGTTGCTTGAGCCCGGGAGACGGAGGTTGCAGTGAGCTGAGATCGTGCCACGGCACTCCAGCTTGCCTGACAGAGTGAGACTCTGTCTCAAATAAAATAAAATAAAATAAAATAAAATAAAATAAAATAAAATAAGTTGCAGTGACAGCAACGAGTTAACTCTTTAATGGGGCTTTAATTTTTAAATGAATATTTCTGAGCTGTTGGCGAGCTCAGCTGAGGGAGGGTGGTCGCCACGGGTCCCTGATTCCAACCTGGCTGTGGGCTGGGACACGGCTGCCCCTAGTATGAGTAAGGCTCAACAGTGAGGGATGTCCAGTGCCCAGCCAGCAGCTGGGGTATCTGTGGGGTGGGGGGCTCCCCCATCGCCCTTCCCTCCCCCTCCCCTTCCTTCCCTCTCCTCTCAACCCCAGCTCCTCTCACCCTTCCCCCTCCCCCCACTCAGGACTCCCCCCCAGCTCACTCCCTCCCCCCACACTCCATCTCCCCTCTCCTCAGGGCTCACTGGCTTCCCACCTCTCTGAATTCCCCTCCTCCAGATCCTCGAGGCTCCCTGCCCATTCCCTCTGGGGTCCTGAGGTCTCCAGGGGCCACTCTGGCTTCCCTTCTGCAGACCCACTCTCCTAGGGGAGCAGGGCGACCCCACACAGATACTGATGGGACAAGAGAACCGGCTCTGCTAAAAGCCTCCTGGGGCGGGGGCCGTGGGGGAGGTGAGAGCTGTCTCTGGCCTTGAGGCTGAGCAGCAGCCCCCAAGGTGTCCTCTGCAGAGAGGGCCAGCTTCAGGCCTGCCACCCTGCAAACCACAGTGACCGGTTCTGAGATTCCTCCATTTCTGAACACGAGCCCAGCAAATGATGGAGGTTCTGGCCCCAGACCCAGCCCCAGCCCCCGCCCCAGCCCTTGCCCCGGCTCCGGCCCCAGCCCCAGCTCCTCCTCAGCCCCAGCCCTAGCCCCAGCTCCAGCCCCGACCCCAGCCTCAGCCCTGGACCCTGCCCCAGCCCCGGACCCTGCCCCAGCCCCAGCTCCTCCTCAACCACAAGGGCATCTCCAATTCCTCCTGAAGAATTCAGTTCCCTCCTCTGGGCACCTCTAGGGCCCAGCTGGGCCCAGGGTGTGTTCTACAGTGGGGGGTGGTGGGGAGATTTTGTGACCCCACCCTCTCTGCAGGGCACCGCTGGTGGCTCTGGCCTCGGCCCCATGCTGTGCCAGACACACAGAGAGGCTCGGCCAGTTATTTCCAGGAGGCCAGGTAGGCAGGAAAGGCCCAGGATCCGCCAGGACTGGGGAGGGAGGCAGGAGGCTTCTCTGGGTATAAAGCAGCTGAAATGTGGAGTTTCCTCCCAGGAGCCGAGAGGCAGCTGCAGGGCGAGCCCCGGGGGGAGTGTGCAGCCACTGGAGCTCCATCCTGGGCAGGGGTGGTGACGGCTTGAGGATGGCAAGGGCTGATGCCTGGTTTGCTTTTAAAATTGTTGCTATGTGCTGTAGTTCCCCTGTTATTCCCAAACTCTCAGGAAGCACCTACTGGCCACGAGGTAGTCTTGCTTATGGGGCTGGGGATGAAGAAGAGTCAGGTGCAGGTGGGCGGAGCTCCGGCGGCAGGAGGCTGAGGGCGGGGTGGGGAGTAGCAGCAGGGGATGGGCATGAGGCCCCTTCCATTTTGGAAAGAGCCGCGCCCCGTGGGTGCCGATGGTTAGGAGACGTCTTAGTCGCATGCCCCCAACGATTGTGGCGTTTCTCTGTAGTGCGTCCATGGGCCCAGCGCCTGGCATGCCCTCCCTGGGAGCTTGCTGGACCCATGACCAGGGGTCTGGGAGGGCAGAGGACAGGCGGGTCCTGGTGGTAGGTTGGCTGCTGAGTTTCCCTATGATGTTTGTCCTGCTGGTGCCCAGAGCCCCTTCAAGGTGCCCATCATCAGGGGAGAAGTGGAGCCACAAACTGCCTTTTAACCCTGGGGTCCTGCCAAAAGGTCTGGGTGTCCTGGGGCCTGTGGCCTGGGTTGCAGACGCAGCCAGTTCCCTCCAGGCATGGCCACCAGCCCTGGGCTCCCATGCCCGGGTTTCCCTGCCTGCCCAGCTGGTCAGAGGAGGGAGTCCCTCTATCCACTCTGCCTCACATTAAAGGCAGAGACTGAAGAGGTGGCTGCTTGGACTGTGGAGGCCCAGGGTGGGGGGCCACTTTGGCCAGGACTTCGGTGCTCCCTTAGAGAAGGCTGTGCTCACCCCCTCTTTCCTGCAAGTACCTGGGGACCTAGATGGGGGCAAGGGATGCCCAAAAGGGCCTGGACACCTTCCATGGCAGTCCGCCCTGACAGGGTTTGTGGGAGGGCGTGTCCTCCCTTCCGCAGGCCTGGCGGGCAGTGAGGCCGTGCAGCTACAACTCACCCCTCACACCCGGGCCAGGAGCTGACTGAGGCCCAAGGCTGAGCCTCCACTTTGGACCTGGGACATCTGGGCAGAGGAGCCCTGTGGTGGGGCCAGGGCGAGGGGGTAGGGGCCTCAGGGTGGGCCCTGGGACCCCTTGACCTACAGAGCAGAGGCGTGTGGGGAGGTGCCAGCAGCTTCTTGGAGAGGCCCAGGGTAGAAGCACTGGCAGGTAAGCTATTGTGGGCCTTGGCAAGGCCGGGCCTTGAGCTGGACGGCCCGTGGCACAGTCCAAGCCAGCACTGCCCCAGCTTGGAGGGGCTTGTGGGTGGTGGAGCACCGAAGGTACCCAGGCGGTAAGAGGAGGAACAGACGAGGGCTAGACCCAGGCAGCAGGTGCAAGTTGGCCCCCGGCCTGGCCCAGACAGGAGGGTGGGGTGGGCAGGAGGTGGGGGTCCTGAGGTCAGTGCTTCAGCTGCTCGGGCTGGCTGGACGCCCACCCTGCTGGGAAGGAGCCTGGCCTTTCTCCAGAGCCACAGCAGGGGCCTGGGCACCCCGCACTTGGTCAAGGCTGAGGAGGCCTCAGCTGCTGGGTGCTCTGGAAGCAAAGCGGCCTGGGAGGGCCTGGAGGAGCCTGGTCTCTGTTCCCTGCTGCCTCACCGTGGGAGGGCACAGAGGAAGTGCAGGGTGGGAGCTGGGAGAAGTGGGAGGAGGAGGAGAGACAGGAGAAGGCGCAGGAGGAGGGGCAGGAGGGGGGACAGGAGGAGGGGCAGGAGGAGGGGCAGGAGGAGGGGCAGGAGGAGGGACAGGAGGAGGGACAGGAGGGGCAGGAGGAGGGACAGGAGGAGGGGTAGGAGGTGGGGCAGGAGGAGGGGCAGGAGGAGGGACAGGAGGAGGGACAGGAGGGGCAGGAGGGGGGACAGGAGGAGGGGCAGGAGGAGGGGCAGGAGGAGGGACAGGAGGAGGGACAGGAGGAGGGGCAGGAGGTGGGGCAGGAGGAGGGGCAGGAGGGGGGACAGGAGGGGGGACAGGAGGGGGGACAGGAGGAGGGGCAGGAGGTGCCAGGTGCTCTCTGAGCAGGACCTTCCATGTGGCTCTGGGGGGCCTCTGGCATTGGCAGGTCAGGGGTCAATGAGAGGAGGGAAAGGTGGCCAGGAGCAGCTGCTGGGCGGGAGGGCAGGAGTGCACGAATCAATGCATGGGCGGGGGTCCCTGGGAGAGGCCCATGGGAGCCCCGGAGCCCAGCCCCTGGTAGAGGCGCACCAGGCCCAGCTGTGGGATTGTGCCTGGGATTCCTGCATCTGGGACTTCCTGAACCCCACCCCCCGGCCTTAGCTTTGAATATGAGGGTCATCAGGAATCAGTTCCGGGGCCCGATGGCCAGAGACCCAGGGACTGGGCGGAGGGCCTCTCCCTCCAGCAGCAGGGGTCACCTGTAGGCCCAGAAGCCAGCCCTGGGGCCCAAGGAGGGCTGCCCCAGGCAGTGGTGCAGACAGGCTCTCAGCCTCCACGTGGACCAGACTTGGGTTGGAGGCACCGCATGTTGGGGCGCGGTGGGGCCCTGGGGAAGCCAGGCTGATCTTAGCCTTGGTCACATCGAGGGCCTGGCTGTGGGCATCCAGGTGCTTCAGGCAGGGCCTGGTGGGGCGAGGTCCACTGGGCTTTTTCCTGACGGGGTGGGGGGTGGGGGAGCTCCCAGTCGGGCCCCTTCTTGTGTGCAGCCTCCTCCCTCTTCTCTCCCCTTCCCTCCTTTCTTGTCTGAATCAGTGTCTCCCTCTCGCCCACTTCCCCACCTCTCAAAAGACCACAAGCACCCAGGATAGCTCAGCACACACGGGTTCTCAGCTTCCCGTTCATACAGAAACCTCAGACAAGAAGCACGTTGCCCATTTTTCTTTAAGACCAACCCCAGACCACGAGAACGCTTTCTCTGCGGCAGCAGCACTCCAGCGCCCCTGCCTCCAGGCACCCCCGGCCTCCGCACTCCAGTGGCCCGGACCTGGCTGAGGCAGCTCCTGTGGTAGGTCAGGCCTCACAGACGGCTGGAAGAGCCAGTTCTGGGCTGGGCCTGTGCGAACAGGTGTCTGTTAGTCAGGGTTTTAGGAATGCAGCCTTTGGAGCCTGCAGCAGGGAATGGCGGCTCTGGGCCCTCAAGGGGCAGCCGGTGAGCCTGGGAGGCCAGGCCGGGCTGACCCAAGGGGAGGACCCTCTCTGCCCACTGCTGCTGGCCATGGGCAGGTGTAGAGCCTGGGGGTCCCCCAAGGCACAGTCCCTTATCTCCAGGAGAAGGCAGAGGCAGGAAACAAATCTCCTGTCAAAATTCCTAAAATACTAAGTAAGCGATGGTTCCAGGCTCAGACACTGGACACTGAGAGAATGAGGGAAAATCAGCCTGGACAGCCAGGGCTAACAAGATGGTTAATTACAGCAGGAGAAGAACGTTAACAGTATTAATTCTAACCACAAAGGAGGAAAAGGGAAGACCCAGTGAGAAGGAGGAGGGTCCCTCTCCCAGATGAGGCTGCCCCCATTGCTGGGGCCTCAGCCCCTCCCAGGCCTGAGGGAGCCCAGGCCTGCCTGGCCCCACCCACCTCACCCCAACCCTGCCTGGCCCTGCCCACCTTTGCTCCAGCCCTGCCTGACCCCTCCCACCCTTGCCCCAGCCCCTGTCTGGTCCCTCCCACTTGTCCCAACCCTTCCTGGCACTGCCAACCCTTGCCCCAGCCCTGCCTGGCCCCTCCCACCCTTGCCCCAGTCCTGCCTGGTCCTGCCCACCTCACCCCAGCACATCCTATGGGGCTCACATCTTTGTCTTGGAATTTGGTTTTTAAAATAAATTATAAGTTTTAATAAAATAAAGTACTAGAAAAGCTATTCATTATGGAAGATGTAAAAATCTGAAAAGAAACTTCCATTTGTGAGGAGAAATGGAGAACGGAGTCCAGGAGGTGGAGGAAGGAGGTAGAAGGCCCTGGGCCCTGGAAGGTTCCGTCTGTTCTCCGGGAACCCAGCTTCCATTTACTCCCCTAAAGCAGAGGGAGGCTCTGGGAAGGCAGGTGTGGGGCCCAAAGGGACCCTGAGGAGGACAGGTGGGGTCAGCAGGGGCGGGGGCTGCAGCTAGAGCGGGCACTAGGTGTGTGCCCCCCTGTGCCACTCGGGTCTTCAGCATGTGGATGAGAAATGCAGCCCCTCACAATGTGGATCCCATCTTTAAATTGGGCTGCATTTCAGTCTATAAAATATTCAGTGTCTTTCTAAATAAGTGCATTATTTATGATGCCGCTCGTGAAATATTCATGCCTGACTTCAACACGGAGCCAGTGTGCCCATGCAGGTCCGTGGTGATGGGCTGGCCTTTCCCAGGTAATAGGAGGATGTAGGGCTGCTGGGGTGGGGGGTGGGGGTGCTCGGGAGTCGGTGGAGCTCCTTGGCAGGTGAATCTCACCCAGGAGCCAGGACCCACCCCACTGGCAGCATCCGGGCCTCCTTTGCTGGGGAGCTCATGAGTGGGTGGGTGGGCACTGGCTCCCCAATGCCCGATCCTCATGATGGCCACTTCGAAGCCCTGGCAGACTGGGGGCACCCCAGCCCCCACGCCAGGCCCACTCCAACCCCCAACCCAGCTCCCAACGAAGCCCACACCCCAGCCACCACCCCAGCCCCCACCCCAGGCCCACCCTAACCCCCACCCCAGCTCTGAACCCAGCCCACACCCCAGCCGCCACCCCAACCCCCACCCCAGCCCCCACCCCAACTCCCATCCCAGCCCCCACCCCAGCCCCACCCAACCCCCACCCCAGCCCTCACCCCAGCCCCCACCCCAACCCCCACACCAGCCCCAACCCAACCCTCACCACAGCTCCCACCCCAGCCCCACCCCAACATCCACCCCAGCCCCACCCCAGCCCCACCCCAACCCCCACCTCAACCCCCACCCGAACCCTCACCATAGCTCCCACCACAGCCCCCACCCCAACCCCCACCCCAGCCCCCACCCCAACACTCACCACAGCCTTCACCATGGCCCCCACCCCAGCCCCCACCCCACATCTACCCAGCCCCACCCCAGCCATCACCCCAGCCCCACCCACCATCCCCCAGCCCCACCCCAACCCCCACCCAGCCCACCACAACCCCCCCCAACCCCAGCCCCCCCCCAACCTCCACCCAGCCTCCACCCATCCCCAACCCAACCCTCACCCCACCCCCACCCCAGCCCCCACCCCACCCTCACCACAGCCCCCACCCCAACCCCCACCACAGCCCCCACCCCAACCCTCACCACAGCTCCCACCCCAACCCCACCCCACTCCAGCCCCACCCCACCCCCCCAGCCTCCACCCATCCCCACCCCAACCCTCACCCCAACCCCACCACAGCCCCCACCCCACCCCACCACAGCCCCCACCCCAACCCTCACCCCACCCCAACACAGCCCCACCCCAACCCTCACCACAGCCCCACCCCAACCCCCACCCGACCCCATCCCACCCTCACCCAGCTCCCACCCCAACCCCCACCCCAACCCCAGCCCCCACCCCAACCTCCACCCCAGCCTCCACCCCATCCCCACCCCAACCCTCACCCCAACCCCCACCACAGCCCCCACCCCAACCCTCACCACAGCCACCACCCCAACCCCACCACACCCCACCCCAACCCTCACCACAGCCCCCCCAACCCTCACCCCCACTCCACCCCCCCCAACCTCCACCCCAGCCCCACCCCAACCCTCACCCCAACCCCCACCACAGCCCCCACCCCAACCCTCACCCCAGCCCTCATCCCCAACCCCACTCCAGCCCCCACCCCAACCTCCACCCCAGCCCCCACCTCAACCTGACTGAGGAGGCTGCTGGGTCATGGCTGTTGCCCTGAAAAGGCCCAGAGGCACCCCCACCCCCACTCTTCACCGCCCAGGGCCCTGCCAGATATCCCAGCCTCCACTGTGGACCCTGGAGAAGGTGACAGAAGGAAGGAGACAGAGGGCAGGCTCTGAGTGTTCGGGGGTCTGTGTGTGGGGAGGGACTCTCCGGGGGTCTGTGTGTGGGGAGGGGCAGCCTTGGCCCCAAACGGAGGCCTTTGTCCTCCCTGTGGATTTTGAGGTGTGGCCTTTGTGAAGGGAGAGTGGGGGCCAGGGTGGTCACCCTGGGTGTCCCCTGAGAGGCCCCCTGCCCTCACATCAGCTGCCCTGGACTTGGAGTCCAGGCTTGTGCCCCCGTCCCCCACTCCTCCTTGCCTTTCCCTGCACACCCCCCTCCTTGAAGGCGCAGAAACCACCTAAAGGTCTTGCTCATTGTCAAGGAGGCTTGGTCTCAGGACCCTGCAGCTCAGGGTGGAGTGGCAGGAGTGTATCCAGCCAGCACAGACTCAGAGGGTACCACAGATCACTGGACATGGACCTGGGCCAGCTGAGGCAGGGCTGACCTCTGGGGCCCCCCGCATGTTCCAAAGCCCAGGGCACGGCTCCCAAGTCAGGTGGATCAGCTTCCTGGAGGTCCTCAGCCGGGCCCACCCTTTACAAGGCCTGGCCCGAGGAAATGAAGGGGCGGCCCCTGGCTGAATGGGGGATGGTCCTTGGAGTCTGAGCGTCTTAGAATCCCTGGGGATGTGCGGTTCAGTCCTATAGTTTGCAGATAGGGGAATTGAGTCCTGGAAACAGGCAGGGCGAGGGGAGGGCCCGCCAGGCACTGCGCCCCACTCTATGCCAGGCCTATGTCAGCCCCTCCCTTCCCCTCTCAGAGCTCAGGGTGCATTTTCAGCCCACCTGGCCTGGAGCAGGCAGGGCTGGGGGCTGGCTGGGACCTGGACAGGGCTCAGCTGCAAAGGCGGCTTCCCCCAGCACCTCCAGGCTCTGGCTATTCCAAACCATGCTCCAGGCTCAGATGGGCTTGTGCCAAAACAGCTGAGCCACTCCCTTCACTAGACAAGGGTCCCCCAAAACACAGCATTTCGGGGGAATGGGTGACCACCTCGTGACCGCCCCTTGCCCCCTGCTGGCCCCATCCTAGGCAGGGGAGCAGCTCTTGCCTCTAGGAACCTTCTCCCCGGAGACCATGCGCAACAGAGGGATGGCGCCTGGCGGGTCAGCACGCTGACTTGCCTCACCTGCGGTTGCTGAATGAGTGAGTTAGTGGGTGAGGACCTGCAGGTGGCCCCTGGCTGACACTTTGACTGTGGAGGAAGAAATCAGGATGTTCAGGGCCAGAGGGGAAGGTGGCAGGGAAGGCAAGAGGGGAGCATCTCCCTGTGGAAGGGTAGGGTGCTGGGCAGGGCATGCTGGGGTGCTGGGACCCCCCCGTGCTGGCTGCCACAGTCCAGCAGGGAGCACGCTGCAGGCGGCTGCAGGAGCTGAGCACAAGGGGACAGCGGTGCGTGTATTGGAGAAAGGGGACAGCAGTAAGTGTGTCGGGGAAAGGAGACAGCAGTACGTGTGTTGGGGTGGCCCCATATACCCTCCACGTAAAGCCATGCACTGTACCTGGGGCATGGCCCTTGAGTGGCCACTGGAGCCACCTGGGCCTGGGGGTGGGGTGGGGAGCCCATGTCAGGGTCCAGCCAAAGGTGCCACAGGGCTCCAGCACCAGAGGCACCCAGCATGGGCCTGCCTAGCCTTAGGGCCCTCTGCTGCCCAGGGACCCAACCCTGCAGTCTCTGGGTGATCGGTGCTGCCCTGGAGGGGCGTGACACCCTCTGCTGGCCCCACACAGAAGGACACAGCTGCCACCCAGCATGCAGCTCCCCCAGGCACTAGGTGCCCATGCTGTACCCAGCAGCTTACACTGCGCTTTGTCGCCCACGCTGCACCTGGGAGCCGGCACTGTGCCTAGACGCCCATGCTGCGCCTGGGATCTCATACTGCACCAGGTGCCAGTGCCACTCGGGCAGACCACACTCTCCATGTGTGACAGGATCCGCCAGGGAGGGGCACCCTGACCCTGATCTCCCCAGGCAGCTCTGGAAAGGCCTGTGTCCTGGCTGGGGACCTCTGGGAGGCCATGGAGCTGGGAGGCAGGGACTGGAGGTCTGAGGGATCCAAGTGGCCTGTCCTGCTGCACCTGCCAGGCCCCTGTCAGGGCTGGCCATTAAGGCTAAAGGATGACCCCTCACCTCCTGCCCCTGGGGGCTGAGCCCTACGTAGGAACCTGAATGTTTCCAGCACCCAGTCCTGGCAGTCCCTGCTAGGCAGATCCACCCAGCACCACGCAGGAGGCCCCAGGACTGAGCCCCGCAAGGAAGGTTTC